CGAAATTTATCATCACAAAAAATTATACAGGCAAATCTTTCTAAAGAGCTCTATACATATTTTATGAGGAAAAACTACCCCTAAGTATCAGTTACTATAAATGCACTTTGTAAGATCATTAAATAGTCAGTTATCAACTCAAGAAAAATAAATATATTCAGAAATTTTCTTTGAATATTTATTTTTTTAATGCAATGTACATGTTTTGCTAATGCTACAAAAAAAATCAAAAGAACATAAAATCGGTGTCTGGTATCTTTTGGAAATTATGTGATCTACAGCTTATATGTGTAAAGAAAATTGTGTATCTATTTTATATTTATTGTTAATATTCAACTGTGGTTTGACAGATCTTTGTTATGTATCTACTAGGGACGCCATGCTGGCATATAAACTGTTTCTTGCTGTAATACCTTAATTAACTGGATGCTGTTTCTATGTCTGCCAGGAAAATTCCCCATCCTTTAAAATCTACCATGAGCATTAACTTCTCCATGGAGATTTGCTCTCTATTTTATTGACCAGTCACACAAAGGCAGACTCTGTATAGTATAAGACTCTTTGCTTGTCGAGCCCTGCTTACATACTTCTGTTACTGATGTTGTGATTTTTTATACATCTTCTGTCTTTCCCTCTCAAGAGAGTGAATGCATCCAGGCAGGCACCTGTTTTAGTCAACTCTGTATACCCCACAGCAGTTAACCAAGCTCCTGAAACAAGAAAAACTCAAATGTTCGCTGTTCAATAAAACCATATGCTTTAGTAAATGGAGTATTTTGTAATTTAGTGATTCCAGAAACACAATGTGTTTTATTCAATCACTTGGCAAATATTTGTTGAGTTCTTTTTTATATCTGATAATTTTTTATATGTCATCTTATTCATTAGCGTGTGCAATCTTAGCCAAATTTTTAAAAGCTTGTTATTCTAGCTTTCATTTTATAGATGAGCGCCTAAACCTCATTCACAGGTGACCTGATGACACTTCTGCTTTAACCTCAAAAATCTTGTAATTGAAAAAAGTGCAAGCCAGGCTTGGTGGCTCAGCCTGTAATCCCGTGTCTTGGGAGGCTGAGGTGAGTGGATTGCCTGAGCCCGCGGGTTCGAGACCCTCCTGGGCAGGCGAGACCTCATCTCTACAATAAATCAAAAAATTAGCCGGGTGTGGTAGCGCCCGCCTGTAATTCCGGCTACTCGGAAGGCTGAGGCGGAAAGATCGCCAGAGACTAGCAGGTCGAGGCTGCGGTGGCCGGGAGCGGCCACTGCACTCCAGTCTGGGCGACAGAGTGAGACTCCAACTCAAAAAGAAAAAAGAAAAAAGTGCTCATAATTTGACTGTCTCAAAAGCAGAGGAGACTGTGATTTGTGATTTGAGAACTACTAGACATCCTCCTCATTCAAAATCACCCCCAAAGGAAATGTTTGAAATCCCATCGCTAAAGATTCCTTCAAAGAAAGATAGCATTTCTCAAACCTTATTCTTATTAAATATAAACTTTTATATATCCTCCAACACTGACTTTAATAATTTTTTATAGGAATGATATTTAAACATGTTCAAACCTAATATAAACTCCATTTGCTTCTAATTTCGATAGAACTATAAAGGTAAAATCTATTTCTAAATTTAACATAAGACTTAAAAGTCAGTAAGAGTAAAATAATCTCAACATGATGGCTAATGCTATGTTGAGATGAAATTACTAGTCACAAGAATATGATACCGTTTGCTAATGATGACAACTTTTTTTCATTTTAGCATAGCTGTATTACCATCTGATTTGTATTTTATATATTATATTACTGTGTGCCATTTGTATACCATTCATTGTATCTAAGATATCATTTGTTGTGGCACATACCATCATTTTATGCATGATTCTCTTAGCCTATCCCACCCTCAGCCTAAGATAAAGTCTTTCTTGCCATGACTACTAACAAAAAGGCAATGATTCCATAACATATGTGTTCCTCCAGCAAGATTTTCTTCACTTCCTCTAACATACTGCATCTACCACAGAGAACTTCTTTATTTATAATTTAGAGCTAAGAGATCATCTATACCAATATCCTTTTATTATTCAGTCAATAAACATTCATGGAGTGCCTAAAACATGCCAAGCACTGAGTGCTGAAGGTGACCAAGGCATAGCTTCTGCCTAAAGGAGCTTACATTTCGATAGGAAAAACAGAGCTGGAAATGGTTATAAAATGAGAAGCGATAAAGTAGAGACCTCTGTATGGCACAAGGTACAAGGACAACAATAAAGGGATTATATATACATTTGTTTATGGTAGAGGAGAGGAGAGAAAAGGGCAGAGAAGGAAATATCCAGCTTGAGCTAGATAAAAAGTGGGGCAGCATTTCATGCAGGGGAATTGTACATATGAGCAGTCACAGACAGAGAAAAGAAAAAGCAGAGCTGTTCAAGTCACAGTAAATAATGTATTATGGCAAGAGCCAAGAGTGAGAAGAAGTAGAGGTTACAGGTGAGACTAGGGAGTTAGGTAGAGGTCAGGGATAAAGGGCCCAGGATGTTGTGATAAGGAGTTTAGACATTACACCAGAGGACAGAAGAAGTGATTAAGGGGTTTCAGTTGCACACACAGTCAGATTTATATGGAAGAACAATTGCTTGTACTCACATTAACATACACTACTTCAGCAACGTGGAATTTTGGCACAAAAAAATTAGAGTACTATTGGTGAAATTCCAGTAAGCCACTTCACCCAGAATAAGCAACCCTCTTCCTTCTTTTTCTTTTTGCTAGTTGAAGAGCTCTTCTGCAGAACAACACAAGACCACAGAATTTAAAGCTAGAAAGAAACGCAAATATTATTTTGCCCAACAGTTATTTCCAGGTTGAGGCAAGAGATTTCCCTTAGTTCACACATCTACTAAAGCAAAAAATATTGACACAAAATTCACATCTGTCATTCTAGAATTCTTTCCAGTTGTCTATTTTCCAAACTTTGAGACCTCTGATCTAGACAAAGTGAAAGTATTCGTCTATAATCTTAATGCTTGTGTTAGAGTCATTTTATTATCAAAAATCAGGTTGTTGGAGGTATTTTAAATTATCTTTAAAGATGTTTAAATTAATATCTATATCACATTTATTCTGGCCTGTGACAGTCCTAAGGATTGAATTGTTCAAACAGACTACCCAGAATTATAGATCTTACCTAGCACCAAAGTTTATTAATGAGTCAGTGGATACAGGGCACTATCAGGCATAAGAGAAAACGTTATTTGGGGGAAAAATCCAGACATAGCATCGAAAACAGTCCCTTTTCGTCTACATTCAGGCACATTTTGTTTCTTCATTTACAAGAAGTTTTTTAACATTATCTGAAAAACCATTTCTCACAGAAGGAAGGTTGTTTAACTTGAAGACATCTTCATTTTATAATCCCTTACATACTATCTCTCTCCCTATTCTCCAGCCAGCCTGGCACATACATTCATAAATTCCAAACTCATTTACAATAAGCTATCAGATAAACCAGAAACATCCTACTAAATAAATGTCAAATATAATGACTCCCTGATATCTTTCCCCTGATAAATACTGTGAGCAGATTTACAAGAGAGTCTGGTGAGGTCATTTTTCTCTGAGGGAGGGTCCCACGAAGGGAGACAATTAGTTACAGACTTCTAGTTAACACTGTCTCTTCTCTTGACTTGGCTTTGATGTCTACATCTTAAGTTTGAAATGTAATCAACTATAGAATTAGAGGATTATCTGAGAAGTTCCTAAAATAACTCTATACATAGTTGATAATTTATTCAGAATTATTTCTGAAACAAAGAAATATTTGCCCTTTAAAACAACAAACATCCTTTTTTAGGACATATAAGTCAAGTCATGTATTCAATTAAATTATTTATTAGATGTTTCCATTTGATGAAATGGTTAAATCTAAAATTAAAACTTTTAGTTTATTTGAAAAATCAATAAGGGAATTGTGAATTTGGTAATATGAAAAACTAAATTAAAATTATTTCTTCATAAGTACTTGATTCTTTTCTGTATTAACTATAACAAATATACTTTAAAATGTATAACTAGTATCTCAAGGAAATCTCCAGATTGCAAAAATACAGAGGGCAAGAGTATTGAGTTGGTTCAGGCTACCCTCGGTGTGGGGGATTTGAAAGGTAGCCTTACTGCTTAAAGACTTTGGTTTTCATTTAAAACTGCACAAGAGAAGTGCCTCTACTAAAAACGAAAACAAGACCCCTTAAAAAAATATGCATCCTTGGTGGACTAAAAGTCCCACCCAACAGCATAGGACATCAAGGAAGTTTGTCTGGGCTTCAATTAGAGGAAAAAGTTCTCTTTAACAAATCTTAATCTTGCACCATAGACTTGAAGTCCAAATTTACACACACACACGCACATACACACGCACACACACAAAGAGTAGAAGCAGTTATATATATATATACTCTATATATAGAGAGAGCAGTGTGAAACGCAACCACCAGAAGACTAGGAAAAGGAAGCTTAAAAACAGTGACCTCACGACACATGAATAAAGAAGGGGACTTTAAGGAAGTGAATGATTTGCTTTGATTATAAGCCCTCCTGCACGCTTTATTTTTTAATCATTTGCACATATTACTTTGCCTAAAGTTAGATATAGATAGGTAGGTGTGTAATTAGAAAGAAAACTAATACCAATGAACTACATGACCACATTTAAACAATTCAAATCACTATGAAGTTTTGTTAAATCCTCTAAATTATTCACAAGGGCATTTTGACTCTCTGAAGTTCACAAACCCAGTGCAAATAACCCAAGCAGAAGTAATTTGCTGCTTTTAAGCCAAAGCCCTGACTAACTAGGGAGCTGCCTGTAGGAATTAACCAGAACAAAATCCTGATTAAACAGCTAATTGGCTTGTCTACTAAGGAAAAGAAAAACAAAGTACATTTCTCTACCCTAAGACACAGTCATAAATATAAAGGCTTTCAGAACCACCTCAGAGAAGATGTTTAAATCACGGACCATAAAATTCAACAAGGTGACGCCTGTAGGAGAGAATGATGAGAATGAACAAGGTTCTCAACCAAACCATCAGTCTCAGCAATCCACAAGACAGGTATGTTCTTGACATCCCTAAATAAGTCTTGATTCTCATCATTTCTTGTCTGGTAACAGAATTCAATAAATGCTATGATGTATACAATTGTTTAGCAGTTTTACCTGGTGCCATTTGATTTATGTACTCTTTGGAACTTATCCTCAGTAATTTATACATTCTGTATAAATGTATTTTAAAATAGAATAATAAATGTTTATGGGACTATACTGGGATTTGGAAAAGTCAAGGAAGACTTCTCGTTGCTGATTTTCACCCTACCATCATCCAAAAGGAAATCATTTCTCAGATATTAAGTTGGCTATATTATTTAGTTTCAACAAAGAATGTCAAGTATCCTGATCTTAATATGCCACATTTTAACAACACTTTCTCTGGACCAATAGGAAACAATTTTAACACACAGGGCACATTTAGCTCTGGGAAATTTTTGGTTATCACAGTTCAAGTGGGGAATGTGACTGGCATCTAGTGGGCAAAGTCTACAGATGCTGCTAAACATTCTAACATGAATAGGACAGCCCTCCTACAATCCATAACGATTACTTCAAAATTTTTGTTGCCGAGATGGAAGAACCTTGCTTTAGACTAATCTTTTCACAAGTTTTATTTGTAGAACGTATGTAATAATTTCTGCTTCGTAACTTTGTTACGAGAACTCAAGATAGTACTATAAAAAGTACATAGTAGGTATTTTCTAAGTGGCAATTATTGTTATTAATAATTTATGTTTCTGTGATAATTTTAAGTTCAAAGTGATAATTACAAGAGCAATACTTAGAACTATATAGAGAATAATTTTCATTATTCACTTACTTATTCAGTTACTCACCAGAATTATCTAAAAGAGCTACAAAAAACTTTTAGAGCAATGGTTATTTTCCCATCTGAAAGAACTGGATGAGAGACTTCAAGTACAAGCAAGAATGTACCTGAGGGCTTAGGGTGGAATGGTGCAATGATTCAGGTTTCAATGAGCCCATAGGATAGACAACACTGACATTACTTAGCATTGGTCCTGGAAAAACTGCCATCCTTTTTTGACTGACGTTGACTGTCTTTGCAGTAGAAAGGAAATGTGGATGGTTGTGCTTAGCATTGCTTACTAAGAGTGCCCTTGACTTCTTTCTAATTCTTATGTCAAAATAATAATCCCACCCTTATGTATATGTTCATGAACTCATGGAATGTTACAAATATTGAACTGGGCACTTTCCTTCAGCTAGTCATGCTGTGTTTTGCTCTGGGAAAGTCACTACATTCATGTATAACCCTTGCCTACTGTGGTTATTTTCTCAAAAAGCACATAAAAACAGCTAATATATTAGTCTCTTGGAGAACATGTGCCAAGCAATGTGCTAAACCCCTTCCCGAGCACTGTTGTATTTAATCCTCACAATGGTCGTAGGTCCTATTCTAATTTACTGCTCACACAGCTAGCAAATTGCAGAGCCTGGATTGGAACCAAGCACTATCTGACATCAGCACCTTAAAGCTAAATCACTAGGCTATACTGCCTTAGAACAGGGACTATTAGTTGCATCAACCCTTTCAGATACTCTACCCATAGGACAAAGAGATGTTAGAGAGAAGGAAAAAAATAAAAAAGCAGAAACTCCATAGAGTTGTCTTATCTTCCAAAACAGAAACACTACAAAAGTTCTCAGACTAGGCACAGGTAAGAGATGCCTTAGGTACATCCCATGTCATTCTAACAGCCATAATTTGTGGATGTCAATGATGAAGTCTACTGGCACCACATTGTGTCTTAAAAGTCATATTTAGGGACTTATGTACATCTGTTCTCTCCAAGAACATAGGAGTATAGAAAAAATAATTTTTCTCCAATTTTAAATATGCTAAATGTTAAAAATGACAGAAAGTAGCCGGGCTCGGTGGCTCAGCCTGTAATCCCACGCCTTTGGGAGGCTGAGGTGAGTGGATTGCCTGAGCCCGCGGGTTCGAGACCCGCCTGGGCAGCGAGACCTCATCTCTACAATAAATCAAAAAATCAGCCGGGCGTGGTAGTGCATGCCTGTAATTCCGGCTACTCGGAAAGCTGAAGCGGAAGGGTCGCTGGAGCCCAGCAGGCGAGGCTGCGGTGGCCGGGAGCGGCCACTGCACTCCAGTCTGGGCGACAGAGTGAGACTCCAACTCAAAAAAAAAAAAAAAATGACAGAAAGTTAAACTCCCATTTTCTTCCTCAGAATATAACCTTTTGAAATGACATTTAAACAATAAGCCTCTGAAATACAAATAAATAATTTGAGTCTTATAAGTAAATATTTAGGAATAAATCAATCTAATTATACTGTGTGTGTGTGGTTTCTTGTTGTCGTTGTTGTTTTTGTTTGTTTGTTTGTTTGCTTTTTGAGTCAGAGTCTCACTCTGTTGCCCAGGCTGGAGTGCAATGGCACACTCACGGCTGCTGGGATCAGGCGATCCTTCTGCCTCAACCTTACAAGTAACCGGAAATACAGGTGCGCACCACCACGCCAGGCTAATTTTTTTATTTATTGTAGAGACAGAGTCTCACCAAGTTGCCCGGGATGGTCTCTGAACCCCTGAGCTCAGGCAATCCTTTCGCCTCTGCCTCCCAAAGTGCTGGGATTACAGGTTTGAGCCACAGCACCCGGGCTTATATTCTGTTTTTTAAAATGTTATTTAAGAGTTCATTCACCCACAATGTCATAGATAATTTCCACTTATCAATAAATAATAATTCAAGAACTACAACCAATCTAATCCAAACTCATGCTTTCTTACCCCAGATTAACAGCCTATTCACAGAAATCTACATTTGTGTACACATAGAGACTATGATGGAAATGTTTATGAATAACATCATAATATAATGCAAAAGTACTGGATGGAAGTCAGAAGGCTTAATCTAGTTATAAATTAATAACTAGCCCCAGGTTCATACTTTTCTAGCTGTGTTCACATAAACTAGTCACTCAATCAATTTCCTATTCAATAGTGTTAATAATAATAATCACTGCTTTGTCTAACACATGTAATTGTAAGACAAATAAAATCATCCAATTAATTTATTTTTCAGTTTAAAATGATTCACACAGTGCCTATTAATAGCGTCAAAACTCCATAGCATGGCACATAAAACTCTTAATATTCTCCTCATCCCTACCTACTTCTCAATACTCATTTTCTCATATTTTTCCCCATCAAAATACTTCTACTGTAGTTCCCATGCCTACATACAGTTGCACCTTCGGCTTTTGCTAAACCTGCATCATCTGCTGGAAAGGTTTTCCAAGTCTTGTCCATCTGAAAAACAAAAATCTTGTCTTTGTAAGATCAAGAGTCAGTTTCTTTTTAAGTTTCCTACCTTTACCTTTCACTTCAGTCAAATTGCCCACTTCGTGTTTATGCCCCATCTCTATCCTCTAGCCATTCTCTCATCACCTACATTTTCTTGCACTTAGATTTTTGGGTGTTTGCCCCTTCCCTCTGCCCCTGCTGGATTCTGTGTAGCTTGGGGGTCAATCCTCCATGTTCTAACCTACCTCGTTTCACTCTGCTTACACAGGAGCATCCTCAGGCACACACTAACCACCTCCTGTGTGACATAACTAAGGAAAGCTTAGATGATCAGACAAATGATAGAGTAGAAGCAAATGAAATGATGGGAAGAAGAAAGAGATCTAGATTAGAAGGACTAATCTGCCTTCTTCTATCCACCATTTTAAGGTACCACTAAAGACCTAGACTAAGACCAAAGCTAAGCCTGTGAGAAGTAAAGACTGGAATTGGGAGGTATGTGAGCAAGGGAGACACAGCATTCACACTGACAAAAAACAGAGAGTTCCTGTGGCAAACAAGTTGTGGAGGTGTGATTATTCAATAATAGTCCAAGAATGTTCATTGAAGTGCAAGAATCATTTTTAGTACATCAGAAACAGTCAATATTAATAATTGAATTGAGTGGAAAATAGTGCTGCATTTTACATTTAACTTCATTTTTATGTAAATGCATTACATACAATCTCTCTTTTTTTCCTCAAAGGATGAAAACAAAACTGAAGAGGAACCTCTCAAAACCAAGATGACTCCAGTCACATCTGAAGAGCCACACACTAAAACACAAGGTCAGAATGCAATCTGTAGAAAAAAACTAAAAAGTGAAATATAGATTTCTCTGAAATGTGTTGTCTGATGAAACATTTGTCCTTGGCTAGATGAATTATCTAGGGTCACACTGAGGCTATTTGAAGATCTGAATATTTATAACAAAATTTTATCTTCATTCAGTCACTCATTCATTAATTCATTCAGTAAATGCTTTTTCATCAGCTACCATGTGTCAGGCACTGTTCCAAAGACTAGATATAGTAGTGAGCAACATGGGCTGAGTGTGGGCTAACATGGAGCTTATTTCAAGAGAAAATGAAGCAGGTCATAGATAAATACGGACAAAATGAACAGTGCAATTTCAGTCAGTGATAAGGACCATAAAGACAATAAAATAGCTATGGATTGAACACGTGCAAAGGTTCAGCACTCACACCTCTGCTCCCTCCTGCTAAACTCTTTCCATCAGAAATCTCATCTACTCCTAAGTTTACCACACTCATTTCTACATGGATGATTCTAAATCCTATCAAACCAATTTTTAAAGAACCTGTCTAATATTTTCCAATTAACAACTAGATATATGTCGCTGTATGCTCTGCAACATCCCAAAGAAAGCATGTCTAAAATTGAATTCCTTGTCTTCCTCTTCAAATAAGCTCCCTCTCCTGATTCCCATCTATGTCTGGGCACTGTCATTTTTTCAGTCTCCCAAGCTCAAACTCATTCATGCCTTATTCGTCTGTTTAGGATGTCTTATCAGGAAATTAGTCACCAAATCTTTCATAATGACCCTCAAGCCCTCAATCTCAGCAATACCATCCTGCTTCAGGCCCTTTTTAGTAACTCATGCCTACACTACTCCCAGGCTAAGTGATCCCTTCTGTTTGAACTCTGTTATGATCCTATCTCTCTCCTTGTTATACAGCCCAAACATGGTTAGCAGATTATTTCCCATTAACCACTCTTTTGATCTCAAGTCTTTCTAAACTGCCTCCATATTGCCTGCAGGACCAAATCTAAATTCTTCCACCTGACTTTGTAGAACCTAATGCAATCTATTCACAACCCCTCATTCTAGGCCTTCTCTCCTACTTTTCGTACTTCACCATAACCAAGAAAACACAAAAATAATAGGAGAATCACTAGAACAAAAAAATTACTTCCATAAAACAAATGTTTTGCTTTTCATCTATAGACAAAGTTTGTGTATGGTAATTTTTAACGACTTCTTATCTGTACTAAAATATTTGAACAGAAGCAAAATTGAGTTTTTATGAGCCAAAAATTCCTATCACTAAGGAGTAAAAACTACACAGAGAACTACAAGCAAGATTGTAAGTTAAAAAACAAATTACAAGAAAGATTTTAAATAAGCAAATTGCAATCAATATTTCCACAGTCAAAAGCACCACTCTGAACAAATGCTCCCACTCTCATTATATTTGGCTGTTTTTTATTTTAGAAAAATAAAGGACCTATATGAAGAAAATAACTGAATTTTACAGAACTATGTAGAGTAAACTTTAATAATTGGAAGAAAATAATATATTTCCACTTGGAAAAACAATATACCAAAGAAACTGGGATTTTTCCTAAGTTATGTTTATTTTTTTTACAACCTCCTCTTACTTTCTTTCCACAATATATTTTTTAAAGACAAAAAGAAAAAAATTAGTTCAGTTGTCTTGATTTTATTTACTTATTTTGAAGAACAGCTTTATGTTTTTACTATTCAGATTAAAATGTAGAAAATACTTATTTGTTCTTACACAGAGTAGGTATTTTCACCACTTTCTTCTACATTTTCACCTCAGTCAAGAAGCTAGGAAAATAGTGTTTTCCAAATAGACAATCAGCATTTACCAAAGAAAGTAAATGTGCCCCAATAAATTTTTCAATATGAATGCAATCTAATATTACTTTCTAATTGATGGCTAAAGCTTGGCTATTCAACTACTAGATAAAATATTTATTATAATATATCAATGAAAGATGAAAGCATTTAATAATCCTAAGACTGTTTCTGATAAAAGTTCACATATATAAAACTTTCATAAATAGTAAGAATAATGTACCAAAAGGACATAGTCAAAATGTGAGCTAGGCATGGTGGCTCATGCCAGCCACCCCACCAATTTGGAAGGTGGAGGTAAGAAGATTGCCTGAGCCCAGAGGTTTGAGACCAGCCTGGGCAACTTGGGAAGACCTCATGTCTACAGTAAGTCAAAAAATTAACCAGGTATGATGACACACACCTGTAATCCCACCATTTTGGTAGGTGAAGTTAAGAGGATTGCGTAAGCCCAGGAGTTTGAGACCAGATTGGGCAATTTGGCAAGACCTCATGTCTACAATAAATCAAAAAATTAGCCAACATGGTGGCACACCCCTGTAGACCCAGATACTTGGAAGGCTGAGGCAAAAGGATCGCCTGAGTCCAGCAGGTTGAGGCTGCAGTATCTGTGAGTATGCCACTGCACTCCAGCCTGGACAAAAGAGTGAGACTCTGAATCAGAATATAAGATAAAATTGAAAAAATAAAATTAAATGTGACCTTGTTTTCTTAAATCAACAATTAATGACCATTATTCCATCTTCAATCATTTAAAAGAAGACTATTCTGTAGATCATACAAGAATTTTCATTGCAGCCGGGCTCGGTGACTCAGCCTGTAATCCCGTGCCTTGGGAGGCTGACGTGAGTGGATTGCCTGAGCCCGCGGGTTCGAGACCCACCTGGGCAACTTGGTGAGATCTCATCTCTACAATAAATCAAAAAATTAGCTGGGCATGGTAGCATGCATCTGTAGTTCTAGCTACTTGGAAGGCTGAGACGGAAGGATCACCGGAGCCCAGCAGGTCGAGGCTGCGGTGGCCGGGAGCGGCCACTGCACTCCAGTCTGGGCAACAGTGTGAGACTCCGACTCAAAAAAAAAAAGAATTTTCATTGCATACACCAAAGTGTGGTTGACAAATGGCAGTATTGAGGAAGAGAGAAACAGTCTACAGTAGAAATCAAATTTATGTGCACCATGAGAAGCCAAAAAAACCCACAAAGTTATCAAGATGATTCAAATTACAAATTTGTTTTACTATGAGTTACTTTATAATAGCAATGGTTTAAATCTATAGTTCTTCACACAGAAAAATACAACATTAATGGCATAAAGCCAAGGATCACATCTATGGAATGACAAGTTTATTCTTATATTTGTTATATTTTTCCCAAAATGTATTTGTAAGCTTAAATTTTTCATAGCTGGTAATAAAAACTCTTTTGTGGAAGTTTCATTTAACAGAGGAGCTATTTGAGTAGGAAGGAAAAAAATAGTTTCATTTAAATCTGCAAACGAAGCATGTCTTCAAAGACTTTAATAGGAATAACAGTTATATTTAAGATATTTTATCTCAAAAAAGCAAAATTATTAGTGTTCAAAGATAGCCTCTGATATGCGCTTGGTATTTTTGTGTTCTTCACTTCAAAACATGCAGGTGCAATGTCACAAAATCTGCAGATGTTGATTTCTGATTATAGAACTCTTATCTTCTGCAGAGCATGGTTTAATTTATATCTGCCATGGAAATGAAGAATGCAACACATTTGGATGCAAATAAAGATAACTTACTAATGTCCTCTTTTGATTACAATCATCTTTCCTAAGGTTTTACTTCACTTATATTACATTAAACGCTTCTTTAAGCAAATGATTTGGTACCAGCAGAGGATATGTAAATGTAAATGACATACCTAATGGTTTATCATGCTTTAAAGTGACTTCACTTGTGTAGAAATGTGTCAAAGTTGAGTGCATATAGCTAGTATGGTGTGGTAGACTAAATAAACAGTGGCCACCCAAAGATGTCCATGCCCTAATCCCTAAAACCCATTAATGTGTTAATGTGGAAAAAAATTGCTGATGGTATTGTTAAGCATCTTGAGATAGGAAGATTATTCAGATAACCCCAATGTAATCAAGGTGTCCCTATAAGAGTAAAGCAAGCCGGGTTCGGTGGCTCAGCCTGTAATCCCGCGCCTTTGGGAGGCTGAGGTGAGTGGATTGCCTGAGCCCGCGGGTTCGAGATCCACCTGGGCAGCGAGACCTCATCTCTACAATAAATCAAAAAATCAGCCGGGCGTGGTAGCGCATGCCTGTAATTCCGGTTACTTGGAAGGCTGAGGCGGAAGGATCGCCGGAGCCCAGCAGGTCGAGGCTGCGGTGGCCGGGAGCGGCCACTGCACTCCAGTCTGGGCGACAGAGTGAGACTCCGACTCAAAAAAAAAAAAAAACAAAGAGTAAGGCAAGAAACTGAGGCAGAAGGAAATGAAACAATAAAAGCAGAGGTTGAATTGATGCACTGTGGGAAGTGAAGGAAGGAAGGGACAGGAACCAAAGGATGCAGATAACCTCTGGAAGCTGGAAAAGATAAGAAGTGGATTCTTTCCTGAAGCTTCCAGAAGGAATGCCGGCTTTCAGACCCTTTTTAGACTTTTGACTTCCAGAACTACAAGGAATAAATTATGTTGCTTTAAGTCATTAAGTTTGTGGGAATTTGTTACAGCGGCAGTAGAAAACTAATACATATGGCTTTAAAATATTCCAAATTTAAATACAAAATGTAATCATTTTAAAAATGAAATTGAGTTTTACTATAAACAATCATGTAAATTCATAGTAAAGGCAGCATATTATGCAAAAAAAAGAGCATTTGAAATGTTGATGCTTCTGAATTCAAATCATGACTATGGCTATACCCATTAAATTACCAACATAATTCTTCTCTGACCTGGAAACAACAATACAGAAATTCATATGGAAACATAAACAAGCACGAATAGTCAAACAATTCTTAGCAAAAGAAACAAAGCACAAGATATCACTCTTCCAGAATTTAAACTTTATTATAAGGCTACAATAATCAAAACAGCCTGGTATTGGTAAAAGAACAGGAATATAGACCAATGAAAGAGGATAAAGATTCCAGAAACAAAAACTCAATTTCTCAACCAACTCATC